GTAGGTTTCAAGTAACATCATGGCAACAAGCTGTTTAGTGAGGACAGGTTAGCAAGAAACTGAATTTTGAGATTAGAACAGTAAGGAGCTGGCTAGTGATGTCAAGGTAGAAAGAAGCTGCTTGTAAGGTCAAAGTAGCAAGGACTTGGCTAGGGATGTCAAGGTAGTGAGGAGTTGGCTAGGGATGTCAAGGTAGTGAAGAGCTGCTAGTGATGTCAAGGTAGTGAAGAACTGGCTAGTGATGTCAAGGTAGTGAAGAGCTGGCTAGTGATGTCAAAGGCTAGGTAGCTTTATATTACCCTGACCAATAGCCAGTTTCTTATTACCTTGTTACATTTACCTCAAAAAGAGTCTTCCCACTGTTTTGACCTCATAAGCCAGTTTCATGCAACTCTTGACCTCATAGTTATCTTCTTGCTACTTTGACTCTTCACTAGGGATCAAGAGAGCAAGAAGCCAAGAATGGAGGTCAGAAAAGCCATAAACTGGGTATTGAGATGAAAATAGTTAGAAGATGTCCTATATAGTAAGGGTAACAAATGAGAAGCTGATTAGTGAGGTCAGAATACCAAAGAGCTGTTTTATGAGATCAGGATAGCCAGATGTGTGTTGTAAAGTGATTTAATTATCATTTATTGAATGAAGTAAAATTAAGATGTGTTTACTTGAATAACTTTCAACATCCAAAATGAACTGGCAGAAAAACAGAAATTTCCAAAAAACTTTCATCTTAATTGGGAGAGTATACAACAAATGGTTCCATCTTGTATTACATATTTTAGAGTATCAGTGTTTTTACTCTTTATTGTATGGTTCTGTCGTTCTTTTATTTTTTATTTTACATTTTTTGTTCTCTTGATAAAACATTAATTTTTTGTTTCTTTGCTGTACTATCCATACTGTCCTGCTACCTGACTCTACAGTTAAACAATAATATATATTGTAGTAATTAATCTCAGTCGTCAAACTGCTCCAAATTTACAGTGTTGGCCATTTAAAAGGATTTGATTGGTCACAAGGCATTGTTATGGAGGACTATATTAAATTTTGTGTATACTGATGTTATGTTATTGAAGGAACATGAAACCTTGCAACATGTCATAAAGAAACCACTAGAGTTTGTGTTTGTTGTAAGTAAGTTATACTTTATCTTTTCTTAATGTTACTTTCATTAACAGTATTGATTATAATTTTTAGTTATTCTGTTTTATTGTTTTTAATCAAGTGTGACTATATATATATAAAAGGATTATTTTGCATTGTTAGCTTACAACAATGACTTAAGACTAATACTCTAAGCTGACCGAACCTTGATTTACTTCTGATCTATGTCGGTAGCTTTCTTTGATTAGAAGTTAATATTAAGAAGTTGGCTGGTGAGATCAAGGTGGCAAGGAGCTGACTAGTGAGACCAAAATAATATTAAAATTGTTATTGGGATGAAGTTACAAAAAAAACTAGCTAATGGGGTGCAATTAGGAAAGATAAAATAACAGTAAATTAACTACTTAATGAAAGTAGAAGGAATTTAGATAGTGGAGTGGGTACAGCAAGAGGTTGTCAAAATAATGGTAATTTGATTTGTGTAGTGAAGTTAGAAGGTTGCTGGATGTGAAAGGTATAACAGGCTAGCATTAAGAATAGTGCATGTTAGGTGAAGGTGTTGGATAGAGTTGGACAATTAGTGGAATTTGATAATCAATTAATTACTGGGCTTATTAATTAACTACATTCAACTAATTGGTGAGACTTACATAGTTGGACTAATCAAAAACAGTGTAATTGGAGACACTAATTTTGATTAACTGGTTATTTTACCTGACACTAATTGATGTAAGCAGTGCTCATAGGTAATCAGTTAATCGACCAGCTCTAGTGTTCTTGAATGTTGGCTTGTAGATTAGTTGTTTGATTACTTTCAATTAAACATAGTAAAAATTAATTTTTATTTATACATGGAGCTTCTCTGAGTTTGTTAGTAAAGATCAGCCTGTGATTGGATATATGGAAGGATGTTTAACTGATTAGGTATGTGTTTGAAGAAGATTTGGGAGAACATTACACTATCATTGAACAGTTTATAAATAGGCTTAAGCACTGGTCACATAAAGTGAACATCCTGTTTAGCTTTATACCATGAATGAAAACAAGTAATATTTCTTCTATTACAGGATGTGTGTGTGTATATATACTTATTTAAAATGTGTTTGAGAAGAGCAAAGGGTAGTTATAATGTGTTGTATTATAATGTATATTATATTCCTGAATGTAATGCTTTTTTGTATTACCATGCATCAGTTTAAAGCTAATCATCATAAGAGCTTTAGGTTAGCTGTTCCAATTTATGTAACTTGTCGAGTTACGAGAAATAGTAGTAGATTGTATTTCAACATGGAGTTGGAAGCTTGAAATGCCATGAGAATCTGGGTTATAAGCTACATGCATAGCAACAAACAGCTTAACATTTCAGTTTGTGTTAGTAGAATTAGCTGATTTGTGAAACTTGCCAAATTGCTTAAACATTGGACTCATTAATTGATTAAATTCAACAAATCAATTATTTTCATGAGATGGGTAAGAAAAAAGAACTTTTTCAACACTAATAGTTGGATTTTGATACACATGTGAGCAGAGCATTTATTGTATTATGTAGCTTTGTGCTTAACAACAAACATAAAAAAATTGGCAATATTTTAATTTGTTGGATAGCTGGAATAATTGAAGTAGTAATATTGGAAGCAGTAATAATTGAAAATTAATTATGATTAATTGATAATTTTCATAACACTGATGGATTTAATTACAATTTCGATTACTGGATAATTGGAATAATCAGAAAAGTAATAACTGGAAACTAGTTGATTATTTTCATATGACACTAATCAATGTGACTAATGCTTGAAGATAGTCAATTATATTGATTAATCAATCAGCTGTAAATATTAGTTGTGTATGAAAAAAAATAAATACTTTTACACATTTATGAAAAGTACTCTGGATTAAGATACATTTACTTAGTGTTCCAAAGTGGTGCTGTATGTTTTAACATGCTAAATGTATTTGAAATCAAATGAATCCTATTACCTTATAATTAGATTGTATAGACTTTCTTGTTTAACAAAATATAATATTTTTAGTGTAATGGGGATATTTTTAAACACAGGATTCTCAGCAATCCCATAAGTGCAGGATGTGATCTTTAATAAACGTTACGTGACTGATGTCACATCCATCAGAATAACATCCTGTTGCTATTAAAGATATTTCTAGAACTGGGGAAGACATGATTGTTCAAATTTTACTGTTATGGGTATTATCTGTTTTGTTGAAGTAGAGGACACCAATTTCTAACTATAAACTAGACATTAAACAGCTAATATCTTTTTTGACTTTGTCTTGTAAAATATCATTAGATATAGTTCAACAAGTGTAAAATACCTTTAATTTTTATGACTGGAGTAAAGGTGATGGTCACCATCTTTGTGATTGAATATTAGTTTTACCATTTAGATTATATTGCATCAATATATTTTCTGTACTTTGAACTCTGGATAAATGTTTACCAAAGAAATTAATGTTGTGTAGCTGTATATTAATGTGTTTTCTTTTTTCACCACTAGTTGTTCACTTGTGGCTTTGGGAATTGGGGGGGCATATGTAAGGTTTACTTCAATCTTTGTTTTTAACTATCAATTGGCAAAAAAACTAAACAACAACAAATTGATGAAAGAAACATTAACAACTATACAAGACAGATACACTGTTAGTTAAGAAAATTGCTTACTGTTCCCAGAATAATCCCTTTATTATGCAATAGTGATGGGGGGAAGGGAGAGCTTCCTAAAGATCATTAGTGAAGAATTAAGTCCATTGTTTCAAACAACTCAAGATTTTTCCACTTTTTTCAATGAAGACAATAAGCAACTTGAGATAAAGGTTTACTTATTCCATCCAATGTTTGTCTCACTCCTTTTTCAAGGGTCTATGAATGTCACAGGTTACAAAACTGATTTTGAATTATTGTAACTAAAAAGAATATATAAAACTACAACAATATAATGTAACATTTCATGTTGAAGTGTACTAAAAGTATTGTTGAACAGGTTAGAGTTGTAGATCATAAAATAAATGAAGAGTAAAATAAATAAATAATAATAGTATTATAGGGGCCATGCATAGTATTTGTTAATGGAAGGGTGTTTGAACCGAATCAAAAGATTATTTAAATTTTCTGTCAAAAAAAAATTGCTTAAAATTTTTATCCGATAAGGTGTCTTGTTAATTATGATATGTGCATTGATGTAAAGTGTTCAGAAGTGGCTTCTTGACAGGAAATTTAAAGAATCTTTTGATTCAGTCCAAACACCCTTCCATTAACAGATACAATGCCTGGTCCCTATAATACTATTATTATTTATTTATATATATATATATTTTTTTTTCATTTACTATTTTAAACATTTATTTTAAGATATGCAATTCTAAACTGTTCAACAATACTTTTAGTACACTTCAGTATGAAATGTTACATTATATTGTTGTAGTTTTGTATTGTTTTCAGTTACTATAACCTAAAATCAGTTTTTTAACCTGTGATGTTTGTAGACCCTTGAAAAAGGTGTAAGCCAAAACGTTGAGTAGAATAAATAAACCTTTATGTGAAGTTCTGTTGTCTTCGTTGATAATGGTTTCCATCCTTCAGTCAGCACTGAAAATTTTAAAAAATAATATAAAGTTTTTATGCTTTTTTTTTCTGCTAACCTTGAAACTAACAAGGAGTGATATATTCTTAAGTTAATTTTAGGTGAAACCTTGGACATTCGAAGCCATCTGTGATCTCTTTATTTTTGTCAGAAGTGAAGTAATAGTTAAGAATTTCTAAAAAATGTAGAAACAAGGGAATTAAAGATAATATTATTAGCAATTTTTTTGTAGGATTTTAAGTTCAAGAAAACTATTTCTTGTGTTTGTTAAAAAAGTTTTTCTTTCTTTCTTTGCAGTTTTTATTCAGACAGATGGTGAGCTAAGGTATTTGGTTGATGGAGTATCTCTGCAAATGCATGATGTAAGGACTTTTTATTCTAATACTAAATTATAGCATATCAGAGAAGTATATTAACTCATTTGTAAGAGTTACTAAACAACTAATTTTGAACTCTTAATTACAAGTCTTGAGTGAATTTTTAATTATACTGATACAAATTAATGTACTTCAGTTTTTTCATTTGCTTATTTTAAATGATTTTCTGAAATTTTTATAATGCATTTACATATTAATAAGAATTCTTAAATCTATCGTAAAATATGCAAAACAATCAGATTAGTCTTGTTGTGCTTCCTGAAGCTCATTTTATGCTTAAGAGATTAATTTATCAGTTCAGTAATAAGATGATAAAAAGAATGTAAATCTTTACAAGAAAAATTACTGTGTGTGAAGGATTTTTGTACTGTTAGAGTAATGAGCTTTGATCTGGCTAAAAAGTACTTTTTTTATTTCAGTGTGTGAGTTATATGTATTAATTTGAAATTTATTTTTAGAGTTGGGATGACGTTGCAACGTTGAAACATGTAGAGTCGTCAACCTTTTGAAGGCCATAGATTGGCCTAAATAAAATGTTTTTAATTGTGTACCAATTTTAACATTGAATATTATTTATGATTTTAACTTTATACACAAGTGCCAAAACACAATAATTAATTATTTTTGGAGATTTAACAACGATATTGAGTTGTTTGGATTAATCTGCAAACATTTCATAAATATATTAATGTGTAAGCAAAAATATTTTTGGAAGTATTTGTACAATTGTAATGTTTAAAGTCAAGCTATGCATGATAAGTCTCAGGCAGTCTTTAATACTGTTGCCAACTTCATATGATAATTTTTTAAAATCTAAATTTCTTCAGTGTTTGTATGTTTATTCAAAATTTTTGGTTTGCAAACAATTGAATTACAGTTGGTTATGAAATGTAATATTGTATTTCATAAGTGTTTTGTAGTAAGATTTAAACTGGCCAAAAAAATTCAAGTTGTTGAAACTTACCATTTTTCTTTTCTAGTCTCCTGCTGCTGAAAACACTTCCCCATTCAGGTACGTTTGTGAATCTTTGCCTCACTTTTCAAATGGTACTTAGTACTTACTGGGTGATTCAGAATTTATGTTTGGTCTTCTAGCTGTATGGCTCCTCATTGAACTTAACATGACAAGCTTAAAATTCTTCCATAAAGTTCAGTATATGTTTTAATGCATAAAAATATTTCTACAATTTTCTCTGCTAATATTACTTACTGTTTCTTTATTTGGTGACAAAGATGAGTTTTCAATTGAGGCATTATTTGTTTTGCGTTTTTAAGAATGCTTTTATGATTATTTCTGTTTATTGTTACTGACTTCAGCTGTAAGTGCATTATTTACTGAGGTTAATATGATGCTAAAAATGTTCTTGTTTATATGACATTAAAGCTTCCCTATGCACATTTATAGTAGAACAAACAGTTCTTGTTATATACTTGTTTTTATACCTATACTCTAATTTACATTGTGTGCATTACTGTTTTTAAATAGGACTATGAGATTGTTAATTATTTAGGGATTGAATTATGTACATTTAATAATAATGTAGTTTATGGTAATAAATACTTTAGTTGAACTTTGAAAACAGGGCCAAATTATTTGAAACACTAGTGTTATATAGAATATATTTGTTAAAAGGAGAAGGTAGTGCCTATTTCCCTCATTTTAAAATAGTCAATTCAAACAAGTAGAATTCCCTTTGACATATTGAATGCCTGTCCTTGATGAGTTTTAACTCATGCTGTCAAGAGAATCTGACTAAAACTTTCCAAGTGTCCTTTATGCATTGTGTCACTTACTCATAAATATTAAGTCGTCAAGAAATTAATGTCGCTTTTTTTAGATGAAAAAACCCGAACAACTTATATATCATAAAAAAACATTTATTAAATGAAATATTTTC